CCACGGACTCGATGCTCAGTGCGCTCATATGCTTATTGATCCTCGTGATCGTTACGTCCGGATCGTTGAAACCTATCGTCCTATCGTTAAACTTCCATACGATCTCTACGGGAAAGTCGCCTTTCATAATCGAACAGGTAGCCGAGACCATGTCTCCCGAGTTAGCTGGTCCGTCACTGATCGAGAATGGACCTATATGCGGGGCAACTATAACCACATCGAAACTGGTTTAAATATTCGTCGAGAAACTTGCGAATCGATTGAACGGTATTCGATTTGATAGCTGAGTTCACGACCCCGTGAACGTCACAGACGATTCACCTCGCGAGAATAGCGATCGAAAGAGTCGGCGAACGAAAGTGGATCTATAATAATCTGTGTCACGTTCGATCTCGAAGATTGAGAAATAGGATGAAACGAACACGCGTCACCTCCTCTGATCTTCGACGGAACGGGATGAGAAGGGAGAAGGATGGAGGGAAGTGTCGCGAGCATGCACGAAATAGAAAGAAAACAGACTTAGAAGGGAGTATTAAGGGACGGTTGTTGTGTACCGTTCACGGCGAGAGATGCAGAATAACTCGTCCCACCGGCTGCGTTGCTGACGGAGCACGTGTACTCTCCCGCGTGTCTCGCTGTCACAGCGTCGATCGTCAGCACGCTGACGCGTTTGCTGGTGTTTACTATCGATATATCGTAATGATTGCGAGAGATCGGCTCCCCGTTCAGAGCCCACTCGATTTGGATCGGGTGATCCCCTTTCAATACCGTGCACGTTGCGGTCACTGTGTCCCCCCAATTCGTTGGTCCCTCTCCGATCACGAATGGTACGATTTCCGGTGCAACTGTGGTCATCATAATAACAATCTATTTAACACTCGACGCGAAACGAACGGAGGATTCATCCTTGGTGTGAAATCTTGAATCGTCGTACCTAAACCGATGGACGGAACGATGAGGTGGATGATGGAAAGGCGAACCGGAGATGATGGAAAGCTGGTTTGATCGAGTGTCGCGCATGCATCGAGGAAACAAAGCAAACCGAGGGTGAAAAGGAACACGTATTGTACCGTTCACGGCCAAAGTCGCGGTGAAACTCGTTCCACCAGCAGCGTTGCTGGCCATACATGTATATTCCCCGGCGTGACTCGCTGTCACGGCGTCTATCGTCAGTAAACTGACCCGTCTGCTGGTCGCGATCGATATGTCGGGATAATCGTGAGAGATCGGTTCGCCGTTCAGAGCCCATTCGATCTGAATCGGTGAATCACCCTTCAACATCGTGCAGGTTGCGGTGACCGTGTCTCCCCAGTTCGCTGGTTTCTCACTGATCACGAACGGAGCTATCTCGGGGGCAACTACGACGAACAAACAATCCTTAATTGTCTAAATTGTCCCTCCTTTCATCGACCATGAATGATACCAGCACGGTTCAACTCGATTATCTATAGAACCTTTTTGGAAGACGACCTATCGAACGGAGGAAATTCCAAGCCTCGACCACCGACGCCAACCGGAGACAGTGAGGAAACGGTGTCGAAAGATAAGGATCGAAAAGAAGGAAGCGCCTGCTGTGAATGGAGAGAAAAACGTGTCTGCTGAGAAAAAATACCGTTCACGGCTAGAGTAGCCGAATGGCTGGTTGCTCCAGCCTTGTTGGACGCCGAACACGTGTACTCTCCCGCGTGTCTAGCGGCCACTGATTCGATGCTGAGGATGCTGTTCTTTCGCGTTGTCGCCAGAATATTTATGTCCGAACGATCACGACCGATCGGCTCGCCGTTCAACGCCCACGTGATCTCGATCGGTAAATCACCCTTGAGAATGGCGCACACCACGGAAATCGAGTCGCCCCAGTTCGCCGGTTCCTCGGTGATTACGAACGGAGCTATCTGCGGCGCGACTGTAATCAATCGTTCGCTTTGCCCAATTTCTGTCCTTCGTCTGACAACGAACCTCGCGATTTCCACGGCCCTTTCGATTCGATAGCGAGATTGCGGAGGCGGTACGTGGGATGAAGAAGGAGATTGAAATCGGGATGAATCGATGAAAACGGGGTAACTGATGAAAGTTTCGGATGCGTCTACTGCTTGTAGGTACCGTTGACTGTCAATTCGGCAGAATAGCTGGTCGCACCGGCTGCGTTCGAGGCTACACACGTGTACATGCCCGCGTGGCTAGGACTGGCCGAATCGATGGATAGCAGGCTGTTCCTTTTCGTGGTAGTCACGGATATCCGATGACTCTGGTCGATCGGCATTCCGTTCAACGCCCAGCTGATCTCGAGCGGGGAGTCCCCGTTGACCACGGTGCACACAGCCGATACGGAATCGCCCCAGTTCACGGCTTTGTCGGCCATTTCGAACGGGGCAATACGTGGCGATACTGTCGACGTGATAACGACGTTGCCATAATACAACGAGAGTATTAAATAAAAAAAATAAATAAAAAAAGAAGAGCTGTCCGAGAAGAAACGCGAAAAGTGTCGTTCGACATTACCTCCACCCCGAGTGACGCCGTACCCCCGTCGCCATTTCACACGGTTGACCAACCATCGTCACCCGATCAGTTCACCCGATCGTTTTTCACACGTTTTACGAGAAAGCGTACCGTTCACTGATAAAACCGACGTGTGCCTAGCGGATCCGGCTGCGTTGGTCGCGGTGCACGAGTACTCGCCCGCGTGTCTTGCGGCTACCGAGTCTATGGTCAGGGTGCTGATCCGTTTACTACTTCTGCTCACGACGATGTCAGGAATGTCGTAACCGTGGTCACCGGACACGCGTCCGACATCGATATGCCGACCGTTCAGCGACCACACGATCTTCAACGGCAGATCGCCTTTGATCACGGCGCACTGAACGGTGGCCATTTCTCCCGCGTTCGCTGCCTCCTCACCGAACGTGAAAGGTGCCAATTGCGGTGCGACTGTAAATTCGAAGAAACCATTTCGAATCGCGTGTAGGAGCTCCCAGAGAGGTACACGCGGGTTCGCAGCGTCTGCCTGTTATGCGTTTCATTTTACGACCCGTTCGAGCTGTTGGACAATTTGGGAAACTACCAGGGAGACTACCAGGGATCGGATCGGAGAACATGGAACAACGGTACAGAGAACTGTAATGAAAAAAGAAAGTAAAATAAAGCGATACTGAGAAAAGTGACAGAAACATGGACCATCCGCGGGATGGACCGTGTCCTTACCTGCCGTCGTCACTGACGATAATCTTACCTCTTCGTTACTACGCGCGAGCATCGACAATACGTTTACGCGCTCGATCATCGGCACGACGACGGCAGTGGCGTTCGTTTAAAAATTACACGCTATGAAGATTACTGCGGAGAACAAGAAAATTACGAGAAAAGATACTGACAGAGTTTCGAAAGCGATCGAAGAACCCGCCGATCGATGTCTAAAATATTTTCAATAAAAAATCTATCGTCGCGTTTCTCTTCTATTATCGTCGGCGTGTTCTTGAACGGCTCGATAAAATCGCAAATGAAAAAAAGAGATTGGTATAGTCGAGGGGGATACCGTTGACCGAGAGCACGGCGGTGTGGCTGTCTGATCCAGCGGCATTTGACGCGGTGCACTTGTATCTTCCGGCATGCCTCGCCGCCACACTGTCGATGCTCAAGAAGCTGACCCTCCTATCAGTTATAATATTAACGTCCGGTCTGCTCGAGTCAATCGGCGTGTCGTCGAACGTCCACGTCAAGTTCACCGGGAAGTCTCCTTTGACGATCGTGCAAGAGATCGACAGCATCTCGCCAGAGTTCAGGGGATCGTCGCCGAACGAGAACTGGAGGATCTGTGGCGCGACTGCGCGATCGACACGGCAGCGTGGCACGAAAGGTGTACGACGTGAAAAAACAACGAAAATGACAGTGAACCAGGAAGATGTTAGGTCACACGTGTGCCGCCTCCGCGGCGAGAACTAACGAGAACTTCCGGTCGCAGCCGCGTAATCACAGATCCGAGTGTCGATCGTACGAAAGTGGAAAGATTTGGGAGTTTTATGATAAAAGGGAAGAAGAAGAAGAAGAATGAAAAGGAACGCATAGATGTTTTTTCAGTCACGTGCGAAGAAAATCGTACGCATGTAAGTACCGTTTACGGTTAGCTGGGCAGAATGGGTCGTGGCGCCGGCACGATTCGACGCGGAACACGTGTACTCTCCGGCGTGTCTCGCCGCGACCGACTCGATCGTTAGCACGCTGTTTTTCTTGTTAGTGCTCGCAATCACGACATCGGATCCGTGCTGACTGTCGATCGGAGTCCCGTTAAACGCCCACGATATCTCGAGAGGCTGATCTCCCTTGGTCACCGAGCAAGTGACGGAAATCAGTTCACCCCAGTTGGATGGTTCGTCGCCGAACGCGAAGGGCAGTATTTGCGGAGCGACTGGAAACAACGACTAGAAGAGTCGAGTCGAAGCGAGGAGGAACGAGTGTCGATTCGCGTACGACGCTCTTCTTACCGTTTGCAATTTCACACTATGGGGTGTTGGTATGGCGGTGAAGATAACGCTGACACGTAACGGAAGGGACAGACACGTTTCTCGGGAAGAATCTATTCTTGGAACGGATACTGAATTGGGAGGTGTAAAAAAAGGGACAGCGACGATGAAAGCATAGATTGAGCGAGCGTGGAAGAAAAAAAGGGGTTGGATCGATGGGGTTGCAATGGGAGGAGATCGTACCGTTCACCGTTAAGGTTGCTGATCGACTGACGGAACCGGCAAGATTCGATGCGGAGCAGGTGTACTCGCCGGCGTGACGGGCCGATACGCCGTCGATGCTAAGGGTGCTCAGTAGCCTGCTGATTTTCGTGATAGTAATGCTAGAATCTCTTGATGTGTCGATCGGCACACCGTTGAATGCCCACGATATATCCATGGGCATGTCGCCCTTCAAGATCGAGCAAGGTACCGACACGGAGTCACCCGAATTGGCGACCTCGGCATTGAAAGTGATCGGTAGAAGCTGCGGGCCAACTGAAGTCATCGCACGCGTTACAAATCACTCTCTCTCGCTGCGTACACTCGTTAAAAATCCTCTACATCTTTGGTAACGTTCAACATCTCATAGGAGAACCATGTTGTGGTCAAGGTGTACGACGTTGGATTCTCGATACAAGGAGGTCGGGATATCAAATATGGGTTTATTTTCTCTACGGTGCTGTTTGCCAGGATGGTGCATAAACGAAAGGAAACGAGACGAAATAATAGATAAAAAGGTAAAAAAAACGAGAGCGTGTAAAATTGTGTAGGAACGGATGATAGTCCCGAACCATTGACGGTGAGCGTGGTCGAGTGGGACGCGGTTCCAGCCGCGTTTTCAGCGGTGCAAACGTACTCCCCCGCGTGTCTCGCGGTGATGACTGAGATCATGAGCATGCTAACGCGATCCGCGACCTTCTTCGCAAGTACGCCGGAGGAACCGCCCATCTCTTCTCCGGGATAGCTCCAACGTATGTTCAAAGGCAGGTCACCGGTCGGTGCGATACACTGCAGGTTTGCGAACTCCCCGGCGTTCATGGGTAGCTTCGTGAACGAGAACTGCTGTACCGTGGGCGGCACTGAGGGTGGAGGATCGATGTATGGACGTGCGATGAGAGGTCGCGGGCGTATTTACGCGTGCGGTTACGTGTCGTACGTCGTGTGTTGCGATAAGTAATATCGTTAATGGGTTGGCTGCGTTCAACACTTACGGGCATGCTTCGAAATTAACCAGCTAACCCATCGACTAAGTAGTAATGTGATAAGAACGCGGTACCCGATGGTGGACGCGCGAAAAGAGAATTATTCTGACAGATTTGAGAATGCACCAGATTTCTTACGGTCGATCGTCGGCCACCGCCATACCAACTTCCAACGTTCCAACGAAAGCTCTCGTGCCTCTCTTTTTAAAGAGCTTTCCACGCTACGTGATTAAGTGTTCGTGAATTCTGCGACGGGGTCGTCGTCCGTGTGCATGTGTCAGCGGTCGATGTTCGTATCGCGGATGTTCGAATCACCGGTTATCGCGAGTTTTATGTACGCTTCGAGATACTCGACTGGACGTAATTGGCCGTATCGACGTCGGATCGACGAGTGCCAGGATTCGCTGAAAGAGTCGTTAGTTCGCTGTAAGACAATTATCGAACGTTATCGTGTTAACGTTCCTCGAATCGTCTAATGCCATGTGGATACCTGTAAAGAATGTTTTACGCGGATTTCCTGTCTACGATGCACCGATTTGAAAAAAGAATTCTATCACGAGCATTAATCTTTTATCGGTCAATTCGCATCGATTAAAAATCGCGACTCCGTTAAACGTTTAATTAATTCGGTCGAAGATTAACTTGTTCGCGCGATCGATCTTATGGGGTAGATAAAGAAGCTTCGAACTTACCCATTACTTGCACTTCCAGGGTTCCTCTTGCGCTATATCCTTGAGCATTGCGTGCCACACAGGTGTAGGTAGCTTGATCGCTCATTCTCTCGACGTTCTCGATTATAAGCGTGCCATTGGGGAAGACCTTTTGTTTCCTGTTGATCGGCAATACTCTCGTGTCACGTTCCCATACGATGCTCTCGATCGGATATCCGGCGACTGGGCAAGTCACGCGAAGAGTTTCACCAGCAACGATAGCCTTTTTGTCCATGTGACGGATGAAGGGCAGACCATAGACGTTCAAACGGGCCGAGTGTTCCGCTGATCCAACCTGTAATCACGAAATTCATTCTCGATCGTCGTTCTTTGTCCTATGCCCTGAATACCGTGCAAATAAAATGCTTGCCTTTGACGCGGCAATGCATTTGTATAGACCACCATCGTTGGTGTGAATGCTGGAGATGTTCAAATGAGAAACCACATCGCCGTTCACCGTAACGTACTGTCCTACTTGAAGCCTCTCGGTGTTGGATAGTCGTTTGCCGTCCAGTTCCCAGGTGATCTCAGGAGTTGGGTTTCCGCTGGCGACACACTTGAGGAACATGCTTGGTCCGGGCTGAAGAGTCTCCTCGGCGAAGGCCTGGCGAATCTGCGGGGGTTCGACTGTGGGTGTACAAATTAAATTTCCAATTAAATCTGATCGTTATCCTGAATTTTCAATTAATACTCTAAAACGCGAACTTACATCGTCCACCAAGTTTCAGTTCTGCCGTTGCCTGTGCGCTTTCCTGATCGTTTCGAACGAAGCATTGATACATTCCCTTGTCCTCTTTCTTGACGCTCTCGATTCTGAGTACGGGTTCTTCCAATCCAAGTGGTTTGCCATCTTTCAACCATGAGATAGTCTTGATGGGGTTTCCTCTAACGTTGCAAGTGAAGGTAGCCGGTCTTCCAAAGTCGATGGTCTGGGTGCTGGGTTCGATTTCCGCGGCCAACGGTGCGGTTACAGTCAGAACGGTCTCCACGCTTTCACCGCCCACAGAATTGTTCACGATGCACAAGTATTTGCCGGAATCCTCGACGCGAGCCTCACGGATGATCAACGTTCCGCTAACCTGACGAACACGATCGTTCAACTGGACCGGTTGCCGACGGGAAGAGCCTTCGATGAACTTGTACCATCTGAAACGATAGACACGAAGGGGATCGTCGGTTTGCCGGATCGATTTACCATACGAAATGAAAACGATCGTATGAAATGAAGCGAATAGAAACGTGTGTTTCTCGTTCGCAAGGTGAAACGCTTGGATGGCGGGAAAGGCGATCGAGTCGCGTTCGCACGACACGCGATATTATATAGATCCTGGTATCGTAACGAGAAGGAGAGAAAAGTGTTCGACGTTCACGGTGTTTCTGTTCACTTCATTTCACGTTGCTTTTATTTTCCTTGCTTTTGCACGTATAGGCAGGGCTTTGGGCGTCTCTGGGCGCGGGCTTCTGTCTCTACTGCCGGCTCATTACCGCGTGTCTAGCACGACACGAGTACGCAAACTTAATCGAAAACAGAGAGCTTGAAACGCAGCTGGAGCGTATAGCAACGGTCGTAAAAGCAGAGCAGGTGAGGAAACGGAGGGATGGAGGCTGGCAGCGACAACTTCGTTACGATCGAAAAGAAAGAAAAGAGCATACGCGTTTTGACTACGCATACAAAATGAGAGCAAATCATCGATAATGGAATAATAATAATATTAACACCGTCTCGAGATCGTTTGCAACTAAACTTTATTTTAAATCAAATTCAACTAATAATCTAATAAATAGCTGGTTCAAAATCAGGATGAAGGTGGTGGTAGTGGTGGTAGTGGTGGTGGTAACTTGAGCGTATACGAGGCGTGACAATGGTGCAACTGGACAACACGACGTACACGAATAACGAATTACGAATTATACCTGGCGAGTGAGAGAAAGAGAGGGTGTTGGGGGGCAGTGAAAAACACGAACGGATGAACGGAGGCACGAAGGTGGCGAGGACTTACCAGCCAGATATCGTGGGACTTATTGGAGGTGTGCAGGTGCAGGGCAACATTGTTCGCCCCATTGATCGGGTGACACCCTCTCGGACCACTCGGATCAGCACCGAGGTTACCGAAGGAGAAGAGGGCCCGCATCCATTTCGAAGTCGCGCATCCGTCACCTATCTCGGGGTTGCGCCACGGGGCTCCAGTTGGCACTGAAAACCAACACGTCCGATTGGCCCCGGATACGGGATACGTTTATACACTTTCCATTTTCTTTTCCCTTCCTCCTCAATTATCACTCTCTTTGACTTTTAATTTTTTAACTGCCTAACGTTCACTCGTTCGTCATTCTACAATCGAGATCAAAGACGTTCAAGTTGAACGAGACGAGAATAAATGAACTTTTCCTTTTCTAATCTACGCACCCCTGTCATCTTTACACAGATTCTTTGAGACATCTTGAATCACCGTTATATGCATGCTTTGCCCACTCGCTTTATCCCTTGCCTTTCTTTCTTTTCATTTCTTTCTTTTTTTTTTTTCACTCGAGGCTACCTTTTGTCCTCGTCCCATATCCCTGTCTTTGTATACTTGGCAATTTTTTCGTTTTCTCTCTCGTGTCTCTCGTCTCTCTTTCTCTTTGCCTGTGTCGAACGTCCGACATCTCGGATTTTTACGGTACCGCCACCCGACACGGGGTAGAGGGTAAGGATGGAACGCTTCGAAAATAGGAACCGTGCTCTGCGGAGCAAGACAAACGACCAAAGAAAAGCAAAAAAAAAAGAATTCGGAAGCTATACGGAATGATGTGTACCTAGAGATCGGGGCAGGAAAGCCTTGTGCCGCACACGCCAGCGCCAGAGACTCGCCCTCTACCCCGCGGTACTTATTAAGGCCGTCTCCAGTCCCTTTTGGGGCAGTACGACCCGACGGTTCTGCAAGGATATCCATTTATTGCCCACACTGACAAACTCGTCTCCCATCGATTCATTCCTTTTTTTTCTTTTCTACCTTTATTCCGTCATTTTATTATTTTCTTTTCACTTCTCAATTGTTACAAACATTTCATTGCGAGAAAAGAACTCTTTTTTGAACAGCTTAACCACTGTTACATTTAATCAACTAATTAAGTATTAAAATCAATCGTTATTTCTACCGTGGCAGACAAGGTGATAATTAATTACGTTAACGATACAAGGAATTAGCACGCACATATATACAGAATCCTGTTCTCGCCGTGAGTTAAACACGATGTTACGTACCTCATCCTCCTCTCCCTCGGTTAATTAGCATCCAGAGTGAATTACACTTAATCGCATGCGATCTACTTACCTGACAACACCGACCGGGCAACAGGTCGCATGAACCGAAACAGACATCAACTTTGATTTGACTCATCGACGACGACGACGACGACGACGACGACGACAAGGAAGATGCTGAGGGACGACGGGAGAAACGAAAGGGTGATCTACCTTGTCAGGGGTGCGGGAAATCCCTGAAGCGAGTGACTTAACGCGATATCCTGACCTCTAGCAGCCAAAACCACTTCCCGTTCGAATTTCTTGCCCGACGAGCGCGGAACTATCTTGTTCGTGCCCTCTGAAACGCGATCATCGTGTCTCGAGAAGGAAAACGGGGCCGATTAATCGCGAGAGTACCTTGTCACTGGGACAGGAAATCCCTGAGTCGAGCAGTCCAACGCCACCGTCATTGTCCTTGGTACGTCGACGAGCTTGCCACCCTCGTAACGTTCGCCGGCCATACGTGGCGCCACGTTACCTGTCGGTTCTGTAAAGCAGCGTTTACATTAGGCAACTTTTGGTCGATCGATCGACTGAAGTCTTCTAATGGTTCAATTTAAAATTGCCCAATATAAACGCCACGTAAGCAGCACCGCGGACAAGAACTCAACCGAACACCCACGCGATTCTAATCTCCAATGGCGCATAATAATGGGGGAGAAATGGGGTAGAAAATGAGCCGGTACCCGAGCAGGATCGCCACCGCCTGGAGCGAGTTTCGGTCCCCTGTTTACGCGCCCCTACCTGAACATCGGGGTTGGAAAACCTTGAACAGGACACGGCAGACCCACCGTTCGATCGACTAGGATGTCCCTCTTCAGTCCATTCACGTCCTTGTCCCGTACGTTCGGTCGTACGCTACCACGTGGCTCTGCAATACCGTAAACAACAGGGAGATAGGGAATGTTTCGTCGTCGTTAACAGGCGTCGTCAATGAGAAAGCAAGAGGCGCGAAAGCGATAAGGACCGTTCGACGGAGGCTGACGAGGAAGAAGGTTCGTTCGAAGCCACGAGCAGGTCCCGTGTTGCTCACCTGTACAAAGGCGCTGGACTGGCCTGAGCTTCGCACAACAAAGTCGAAGCTTGGCCTTGCATTTTTGACAATCCGTCGAATTTCGACCTAGGCGGCAAGCGAGGAGGACTACTTCCGACCGGTTCTAGAATAGAAAACGGGGATCGGTTCACCAGCCGCTAGAAAATCGCTAGTCCTCGCGAAAGAAGAAACTTAACGCGCTCCAGGCATAGTCCATCGCCCTAACGAGGATTAATAATTTCGGAAGACAGTTTTCTTTACGTTCGTCGAAGCGTACCTGAAGATCGGCAATGGATGCGCTTGAGCCTGACACAACAACGCCGTGGCAGTATGAACCGATATCGAGAAGACCGTAATTTTAGCAGTGGGTGGTACTTTGGGTGCTGCACCGCTGACAGGCTCTAGATAGAGAAACGACAAACCGAATGTGTACCTCGAACGTTCCATTACAGTTCGACGAAGAGATCTTGCTGTACTCGCTTCATAGAGATCGGTCATAGATACCTAAAAGCTGGAAGAGGGTGACCCTGGGCTGGGCAAAGCATGGTTACAGGACTGTCCACGTAACTGGCGAGAACGTCGTACTTGGAGGTGGACGCGACTCTAGGCTTGGCACCGTTCACAGGTTCTACAGAG